CCCGGGTCATTCTATGATTCTATGATCACTTTGCAATCAGAGCAGGTTACAGTCCCTTGTGGTCCAGATGCAGATGTGATCAGAGGGGTACTATGACCATAAAACAAAACTTATTTTTAGTTTGGGACCCTTTTCTCAATTGGTTATGATTTTGAATGGTTTCCCAGTTGGTTATGATATTTCAGGGAAACTTCTTGATCATAAAATACTTAATTGTCAGGGGCTTTTCTTACTTTTCAGTTTTGATTTGGCTTTCGTAAGAGTCCAGTCAAAAGTAGCAGGGCCTTTTGTATAGCAACACTTAGTGAGTAGACTTTTATTTTACAGGGATGAACTCAACTGTAAAATGACCAACACTGTAGGTTAATAACTTGTGCTTATGATATTCTGATTTATTGAGCTTTAATGTTTTGGATAATTGGTTTCAACTGCTTACAAGAGTGACAATTCCTCATGAAGCTTTATATATTTTGTCAAGAAAAATGCAGGGGTTGCAATACAGCTGATGATTTGCTCAGAAGATCTGTAGCGTTCCAGACTAATATTGCTGTTCTATCTGTAGACAATTGTAACTATAGGATTAATAAGAAAGATCTCCGGTATTGATTGTAACTGAGTGAACTGGAGAAGCAGGGAGAGAAAGAGGAAACATTTTTATAGCATGCAGAAGTCTCTTAAAAATTGCGGTCATGCTAAAAGCCTCAGCTGGAGCCAGGACAAGAAAATGCATCAAGGCAGTGGTTTGACTCCATGGGAAGCATGCTTCCTCGGTTCAAGTGCTCACAAAAGAATGTATTTATTAGATTTTGTTATATCACTTTTTTTTTTTGCTATCACCACCCACTGAAATAAATGGCAAGACTCCAGTTAAATTTAATTAAAGCTGTTTTCAACAAACAGAACTGGTTTTTTTTTTTCCTTGTGGAATTGCTCAACTTGCCTCAGACAATGACCCAATAAACCAGATATTTGTTCCTGAAACAGTTATTCCTTCTGTTCTGAGAACACCAGAACACATACTGCACTGCTAAGAATAACTGCCTGGTGCTTATGCTACTCACAATTTATATCCTGTGTAATTTTCTTTTCGTTTGAAGACTGAAGCCTTAAAATATTGGACTGCACAATAAATCTGCAAGTGTATAAAATTGCTAATATATAACAAAAGAAGAGAGTGTGTGAATGAAAGTTTAATGATATTTTAAAGAAGTTGTCAAGTTTAATATAAATGGATTTTATGAAGCATGTAGTGTGAATTAATGGAGATTTAGTAAATGTACATTAACCTACGTGGGAGATTTGGTTCTCCTAGTAAGGAATACTCTTTGGTGCCTTTTTCCTCCTTAATGTAATAGTAATTATTACTGTATTGCTGTGGAAGAGAAAGCCTGTCTAAGCATCCAAAATAATGGTCTTCCAAAAACCAATTTTTCTTACTTCGTGGTATTTATACTTTTTCTGTTGCAAAGCGGTTTTCAATCAGAAAACTACATTAGCAGCTATGCTGAGGGTATTATTCTAGTGGTTTCAACTCTAATATAACTGAAGACAACTTGCCTCTACTCCTGATGTGTTTGTCTAACATCTTCCTGTACATTTTTCATAAATGGCCATGGAAAGTGAACAGTTGCATATAAATGTCACCTTAAGGCTTCTGACTCAGTAATTTGCAATGATGACAACGTGGGAATGGACTCCCTCCACCTCAACCACTCTCTTCAGTCCAGGAAAGTTCAGCTGGTGCCGTGGTACATGAAGAAGGACCATACGCTCGGCTGCCAGCTGCTCTTCCATAGCTGTGCAGTGCATCTTAGGCAGAGTGGAGGGTAACAACTTGCCCTGACAAATCTTAGCCAAATCACTGTGACCCAGCTTGCTGTACAGCAGTAGACTTGCTGGAGTTGAAGCCCAAAGAATAAGCTCCATGATTCTGTTGTGCGTATTTGAACCTGAGGTTCTTTGTATTAAACTTGTGTTTGAGTAATGCATGCATTGGCAGTGAAAAACAATTTTTGTCTCTTCCAGTACTCAATCTGCAGTGAGCCTTTAATTGAATTATCCAACCCAGGTGCCAGTGGGTCCTTATTTTTTGTAACTAGTGATGACGAGTTCATCATCAAAACAGTTCAACACAAAGAGGCTGAGTTTCTTCAGAAGCTCTTGCCAGGTTATTATATGGTAAGTAATTGAAGACTGTATTTTACCTGTATTTTTCCTGTTTCCTGTCAGACTTCTGAAGATTCAGTTTCATTTGTTGTCTTTTAATCTTTCATTGGCTCTATCCATATTTTTCATAATCTTTTTGACATTTTTTACCTGTCTTTCAACTTTGTACCCCACACATCCATCGGAAAAAATAGATGTAAGTCAAGAATATCTTTAAGATAATAATAGCTGTTCTCTTAGCCTTCAGGATGAAGCTCAATGTCATCTTCTGATTTGATACCAAACTTTGCTTTTAAGAAGCTAGTAACAAAAAAAGGTTTCTAAATTTCTAATTTAACTTTCTCCATTTTGTGTTTGTTTACCCCCTGCATTTCACTCAGAGTGGACAAAGAAACTAGACCGGTCAGTTTCACTTTTGTTTCTGGACTACTTCTAATTTCCATTTCTCATGTATTGAAAAAATGATGTAAAAAATATTTTTATCCATATAATTTGTTCAAAAATGAATTTTTAAATGGAGCTTTTTGAGGACTAATGCTAAGTGGATTGTATGGTTTTATGTGTGTCAGTTATCAGAAAGGGAAACCATTGATCCAAAATAAGTAGAATTCATTTCTCCTGTTTTTTTTTTTTTTTTAAACAAAAGCCACTTGCACATATGAACTGATATTCTTTGGGGTAGTATGCAGGGCTTTGGAGTATTAGACCTGTGACTGACTTCCTTTTCTTTCTTTGCTTTCTTAAGTAAATACTTTAAAAATTGCCCTCTCGCTTGTACTAAAAATGAGAAATATTGTCATTGTTACACTACAGTAACATAGACTCACTGTTTGTTTAAAAAAAAATGCACTGACAGCATCAAAAGGGCAATGGTGGTAAATACTTTTTTGTTGGTTCTAATCATGATAATCGTCTCAGCATAAGTTTGAGTTATCACAAGTAAATATAAGGACGCTTTCCTTTCTTTCTGGGAACTTTATTCTCACTGCTACCATATGCAAGGGTTTCCAAAGTGTAAAACTTCAATCACTGTGATTATTTTGTATGAAAGTACTTTCTTCCCATAGTTGTATGTTGTGACTTAATTATCATGTAAGGCTTTAAGTAGTTTTTCCTCTTCTTGCTTTTTCATGCCGAAAACCGTGAGTAGTTGTGTTCAGAAGGAGAATTTTTGCTCTCACCTCTCTTATCCTCTCCTAGTTAATTTTTTTTGTCTGTTGTGGAATTTGGATGATTTCACATTTTTCTGTTCTGATGGTCAGTTGTGGTTGTGTTATGACTTCACACTCCTGTGGAAACAGCCTGGTCATTTGACACTAACCTTCAATGTGAAAAGCATCATGGAGACAAGGGTTCTGTTTTTCAGAAACCAAGCTGAGATAATGAGAACTACATTTGAGCCAAACTCCTTCCAGCAGGTGAAATGCAGAGGTTGTTCAGGTCAGAATAAATAAATTAAATCTTCGGGATGCTTTAGGTTTGGCCTAGACTGCTCTTATACGGGATGTGAGAAAGACAAACCTGGCATAAATGCAGTTGCTGCTCTGCTCTTGTCTTATGTAAGTTCCTGGCAAAAAGGCAGTGTTTATGCTAGCTTTCTGAAATACAGACCCACAAAGACAATCAACTGATCAAAGAAGCTGTACTGAATAGGAAAACGTGCACAGTTTTCTTGATGTTTGTTAATGTCCTTTGGTATTAAAAAAACCTTTCTTAAGTATGGAAGTTTATTGAAAAGAGACATGTTTAACAATATGTCTTTTGTTTTAGAATCTGAACCAGAATCCAAGGACTCTTCTACCCAAATTTTATGGGCTGTACTGCGTTCAGTCAGGAGGCATTAATATTAGAATTGTTGTAATGAACAATGTTTTGCCACGAGCCTTGAAAATGCATTTCACGTATGACTTGAAAGGCTCCACATACAAACGGAGAGCATCAAGAAAAGAGAGGGAGAAGTCCAACCCTACATTCAAAGACTTGGATTTCTTGCAAGACATGCATGAAGGGTTGTATTTTGACTCTGAAACACACAGCGCACTAATGAAAACACTACAGCGGGATTGTCGAGTGAGTAAAAATTATTGACTATTTAAACTTTTGTGTTCACATCTGTTCTAGATTTATCTCAGCAAAACAGAGAGCAGGACATGGCTCTGTATGTTGTTTAACCTCCATTCCTTTTCCATGCAGTTTAATTAGGAAAAACTGTGGATGTCAAAACACTGAAGAAGCCCATATTTTAGTTCAGTTGTTGGGATCTGAGATCATAGAATCATAGATTGGAATATCCTGAGTTGGAAGGAATCCATGAGTGTCATTGAGTCTAACTCTTGACTCCACGCAAGGCAATCTGAAAGTTAAACCATATATCTAACAGCGTTGTCCAAATATTTCTTGAACACCAACAAGCTTGGGGCTATGACCACTTCCCTGGAGAACTTGTTGCAGTGCTTAACCACCCTGTCACTGAGGAACTTTTTCCTAATATCCAATCTGAACTTCTCCACTGCAGTTTTAAGGCATTCCCTCGCATCCTATCACCAGGCACCAGAGATCAGCAGCACCCCTTCTGCTCCCTTGATGAGGAAGTTGCAGACAGCAGTGAGGTCATCCCTCAGTCTCCTCTAAGCTAAACAAGCCTCCTATACTCATCTGCTCCTCACAAGTCAAGCCCTCTAGTCCTTTTACCGTCTTTGTTGCCCTCTTTTGGATACATTCTAATATGTTCAAATCCTTCTTACATTGTGGAGCCCAAAACTGCATGCAGTACTCCAGGTCAGGCCACACCAATGCTGAGTATAGTGGGACAATCTCTTCTTTCAACCAGTTAGCGCACCCCAGGATTTGGTTGGCCATTTTGGCCATTAGGGCATATTGCTGGCTCATTGAGCTTACCATACAGCACAACCCCCAGATCCCGTTCTGCAGGGCTGTCCCCTATTTGTCTGTATCCAGGATTACACTGATCCATCTGTGAAAATACAGATTAGTATAGGAAAGTAGTCCAGTAGAGTTTTTTTCTTAATTTTTGCTCCTTCTTCCATTAATTTGGAGAGTGTAACTTTTTTTTTTTTTCCTGAGGCACAATAAATAGCCATGTGGTGCTATTGGTAAACATGATAAACTTTATGTAGAGCTGCAAGCTCAGTACTGCTGTAGTAAGTGTGATGGGTTTGCCTTGGCTGGGGGCCAAACCACACACCCACTCACAAATTCAACTCCCCACCCAAGGATAGGGGAGAGAATTAAAGGGCTAAAGGGAAAAAAGGACACGTGGGTTAAGAACAATTTAATAACTAAATTACAATAATATTGAAAATAATACTATATACATATATACAAATGAGTGATACACAGTGATACTGCCCCTTCCCCCCCCCCTCCTCCGATGACCAAGGCTCAGCCTGTTCCCAGCTAATGATCCCAAAGCAGAGAGAGTCCTGAAACTGCACTTACGGAACAGAGATAACAGTCCGAGCATCCCAGTCTGAGAGCTGACCAGGGTCAGGGGGGGAAGGCCTTGGGAGAGCGACCAACTGGAGCGAGATGACCCAGAGCAAAAGAGATCTGGAACCAAAAGGGCCGATCTTCCGGAGGGTCCTCACCTATATACTGGGCATGACGAGTATGTTATGGAATAGATTACTGGCCACTTTGGGTCTCAATCCTGAACCTAAGATCAAATCCTGGGCTAGTAACTGGGGCTGTGCTCCCTCCCAGCTTCTCCTGTTTGCAGACAGCCAGAGAAGCGGAAAGACCTTGGCAGCTGTGTAAACATCACTTTTTATCAGCTTTCTTCTGAGCACAAATCCAAAACACAGCCTCTTGCTAGCTATTGTGAAGAAAGTTAACTGTCTCAGCTTAACCCAGGACAGTAAGTCTGCCTCTTTGTAAGTTAATAGGAGCTAGGAATTTTGAGTTGGGGAGGTATGTGTAGTGTCAGCAATCTCAGTTCTAGAGCAAAGTAATTTCTTCCTCAGCTGAAAGGTAGTGCTTAATGTCCACGTAACATTTTAACGTAAGGTAAGAGAAATATACCTACCTTTGAGAGGACCTTGGTGAATGGAATCAGTGCCTCTTGGACAGGGAGAATTGTTTAGAATGGAATTTTTCCTGTAGCAAAGGTAAGAAAGTAGGAAAAAGAGGAGTTATCCAGGTCCCTTGGAGTTTCACAAGATTTGTGGTAGTTGTGGAAAGAAAAGATTGGCTTTGTCTGAGGGGAATCCTAGGAGTTTCATAATAAACCAACAGAATGGGTAGACTGAACTCCTCTCGTAGAAGAGTCATCCTGAACATCAGAATTTGTTGTTCACTGCCACCTGTGGTGCAAGATGGAAAGTGTTGTTTCTGCACATGAATAGTACTTTTTGTTTAATTATCACAGAAGTCTGAAATGCCTTGTGCTTGGATTGCAAGGCTGGGTGACCTAATATTCAGCTGCATATACAGTGTGAGACATTTATCTAATGCCACACATTGTTCTTTCTGTAGCCTCTCGCAGTGAGCTTTTCCTGAGCTCCTACCATATGTGATAACATAGAATACATCAGTATGTCACATCTGGGGATCGGGATGACCTTTTGTGCATCCCTCCACTTGTTGAAGGTTTCTTACCCAGTCAAAGCCTGGGGAGACCTATTGTACAGAAAATAATAAAGAGAACCTAAAGGAGGGGAACTAGACTGAAAAGTGAAAAAACAAGAATCTATGATTTAATTGTTATATATAAAGGGGACTCTTACTGGTTCTTTGAAAATATGGGTAAGTTCTTGCTATGTGTTATTTGAGTGCTGAACACCAGGTTTTTCAGTGTGTAATCTTAGACTAACATCTCTAAAGTTAGTCTGGAGTTCTTAAAGGCACAGCTAAATCTAAATGTTACTTAAAGAAAAGAAAAAATTGTCTTTAAATAATCTGTGTATATATAAGTACACATATGCTATAGTATGTGACTGTGTGTGTCTATATATGTCTACACACACTGAATGTTATATGTATATAAAAATTAGACTGCCTTTTTTTTTCTGTTCAAATAAGTCTTACTCTCTGTTGTAAAACAAAGGGAGCAGACACTGCTATCTTTCACGTAGCTGAATTTGCTCAACAAATGAGGTTTGATCTGACTACCTGCCTTGTACTACTGGCTTTAGAAAGAATAGAATTCTCCGTTCATTTTGGGAAGAGGACATGAGTATTGCCACTGCTTTTATCTGCCCATATGGTATTTGGATGGCTACTTAGCATGAGTGATAACTGGTCCAGGTTTTATGGCTTCAAAACTTGTCATCTGTTTTTCATTTTACTCCAAAGTGAGAAAGTTAGTGTAGGCACTGGGATTAAACATTCATTAAAGAAAGGAAATTTTTGATCTTGCCAATATGTCAGGACTAAGAAATTCTCTGCAGTGTTGCTTAGTTTTGGATTATATTTTCATTGTTCATATTTGCAATCATCATCAGTAAGCAATGGGTTTTTTCTTGCTTCTTTGATATAAACATCACCAGCTGGTAGCCCATCTCCTCCTTAAGCTTCGTCACTAAGTGCAGAGGCCTGGCAGAACTTGTTGGTGTGACAAAGGTGGTGGTGGGGACCTTCTTTGTCTGCCATCACTGTGTCACCCACCCCGTTCAGCAATGGTCTCACATTTTCCTTGGTCAGCTTTTTACCACTAATACAGCAGAAGCAGCTTTTCTTTGTGTCTTTGGCATCCCTTGCAAATCTCAACTCTGAGCTTTGTCTTCCTTGACAATAATTGCCATCCCTTCAGGACCAGGCAATATTTCTCAATTCCTCCTTTGTTGCCTGTCTGTCCTGACCCACCCTGTACACTGTGTTTTCACATGCAGGCAGTGCTGTGGCTTCCTTTCTTAGCCAAGCAGGCCTCCTGGTACATCTCTTCATCAACTGATACAGAGCTCCCTCCCCAGGGAAAGGTAATAGTGGGTTCGGCAGTGGTGGACCACTGCTGGAGTGTCAGTTCTTGTCTGTCACACCTTCCTGCAGCTCTGATGAGAACATGCATGATCTACACAGTTAGAGGATGGAGCTGAGGGGCTTGTGGTGATCTGTTGTAGGCTTGTGCCTCCAGTAGCCAGTACAGACTGTCTGCTTTGGGACAAGTACAGATTGATAGTGTTCTCCAGCTCTTGCGTCCCCTGCTTATTATGATCACACTTGAGGTGACAGCTTCTGAAAGCTCTGCTCACATATAATTTTGCACTTTTTGCATCTTGGTTAAGCCAAGGAGTGCAGCATTACAATGTAAAGATGTAACATTCCTGAGTTTATTGTACCTACAGTGCACATAACTGAAAATCTGAACTAGGTTTCAAATTCCAGACTATTGCTGAGACTTATTTTAGCTATCCTATCCTTGCCAGCAGGCACTATCATAATTATTGGGGTGGGTGGCAGTGGCGGGGAAGACAAGGGACGAGCTACAGACAAACGGTACTAAAAGTAAATAATTTCACTTGCCTGAATGCCTTTCCCAAAAATCTTTGCTTTGAAGCCTTATTCACTTCAGAGTGCTTTAATTTGTAAAGCCAATGTGCCTGTATTTTGTATAATGGTAAATACTGAGAGTAGTGGAGGGTAGTTTCAGTAGCTGTAATTTATTTTTAGTAATAATGCTGCTAGCTACTCTAATCGTCGTATGAAATTATGAAATATTAAAGAACAGAGCAGATTCTTCAATTTAAAAATAAAATTAGTCTTGTAAATATTAACAGAAACTGTTCTGCTTATGAATTAAGTGAAAATCAAAAGCCTTATGGTGCATAAGCAAGTACTAAGTAAAAACAAAATCAGAGAAGACATTAAAGACAGTTTAAAGGGCATTTGGGGATTTCTTTTTTTTTTTCTTAAAGGTGTAGTAAATTAAACTTCACATCAAACTTAGCTGCTGTTGCATTTTGCTATAAACACCTAATCTGGAAGAAATTGTTTCCATGTGGAGGAATACTTATGTGGGGCAAAGGGTAAGCTACAGTACTAAGTGATGTGTTAGGTAGAAGTAGCATAAAGTGTAACTCTGTATGAGAAAGGCTAGAAGTGAATTAATAGTAGTATTTTATTTTTCATAG